ATATATATACATATACACAGATATATATATATATACACACACACACACACACAGACACATCTTGAGAATAGTCTACTTCAGAATAAACTGCACTTCCATTTTCCAAATTGCAAAGATCGACTTTATATTTTCTAATTATCTTTTTTAAAGGTCCTTTCTAACTTTTTTTCCTGACTGTTAAAAGTCATCACAGAAAGAATAGGAAGAGACTAAGGTTGCTAAACTCAGCCATGCAAGGAGGAAGGAGAATCACATGTGCTGAGCTTTCTCATATTATTAACTAAAAGTTTATGTCGTGCAATTAAGAGTTTTGAACCATTACTTTGTAAGCAGAATTAAATATCAGAGGTATATTCATAAAAGAGTGGCACATGTCATATATTTAAATTCTTTCAAGATCTCAGAATTGTAGAACCTAAGGCTTCTCCAACAAGTCCTACTCCCTTATTTCACAGTTGGAGAAATGTGTCCAATGAGACTAAATGGCCTAATGTTATATAGCTTGTCATCCCTGAAGCTGGAACAGGAACTCCTATCATTTCATTACTTCAATATTTTTTATATCTACCTATCTAATCTTCTCTTACATAAATGTAGCAAAATACAGTAGACATTCACACTGTACTAGTAGGGAAATTAATCTTTTTGCTTTTCATTCTTTTCTTTGTAATAGACATATGCAATGCAAGGACTTCCTCTCTCATGGGAGGATTTGAACTTCCCTCCCCTCAAGGACCCAAAACCTGATTAGGAGTTGCTGTTAATTTTTGCTCTGGGTTTGAAAAGCCATCAAGATTTGTTATAGAAAAAGTAATAGGTTCTAGAGTACATAGGCAAATATGAAGATTGAAGGAGGGACTACTGAGACTAATATAAACACTGAGTGGAAGTTGAAGGAGAAGCGTTTACAGAGGGTGACTTAGGAGTTTGAGAACTGGCCATGAGAGGTGCTCAAATGAAAGAAGACCCATCTCCCATAAAGAGGAGACAAATGGCAATCCAAAGAACCTTGTTCTGGTGTCCGGGCATATTCAATGACCCTGCAGCCTGCACCCAAGGGAGGAAAGTTCACTGCGCTCCTCTAGGGCCTACATACTGCTTTGGTGTGGATGACATTGATTGTTAATAATCCAGCAGAGTAATCACTATCCATATTCCAAGGCTGCACTTGGTCTGTGTTTGAGGAACCCATGTATTCCCCTGCCCCCAGTGCCAATGCCGTCACAGCCCATCTCATAATGCCCCAGGTGACCCATCTACTCTAAAAAGAGAATGAGACCATGTATATCTAGTAGTGGGGTAAAGTAGAGGAACCACCCACATCTGTATCTAGAAAGACTGGACTGAAAAAGATTAAGGTCCCCAGAACTGAGGCAATGGTTATACTAAAGTTTATAAGCTCATTTTTAAAAAGTCTAGTTTTTCTGTTTTATAAGAATTCAAGACCTGTAAGTTTTTTTTTCTAGCTTTTCTTTCATGAATAAACAGGGAATATATAAAGAAACTCGTTTTGTTAATCTATAAAAAATGTTAAATTACCTAAAGTTGAAGTATTTTGTGCAATGTGTATGTATTATTTATGTATATGTGTTTCTCTCTCTCTCTGAATGATACAACAGATGAAAACTAACCAATAGAGAGGATATGGTTTGAGGCTTAAGAATGAGCCAAACAACAAATGCATAACTGTGTACTATTTGCATGACTAATGCAACTTCATTTAACTGCTACCATTTGAAAATACCAAGTACACTAATCTTGTTTATTGTTTTTGCTTCTTTTTTGAGACAGTCTTGCTCTGTCACCCAGGCTGGAGTATAGTGGTAAGATCTTGGCTCACTGCAACCTCTGCCTCAGGGTGCAATCAATTCTTGTGTCTCAGCCACCCGAGTAGCTGGGATTACATGTATGCACCAACATACCCAGCTAATATTTTGTATTTTTAGTATAGATGGGGTTTTGCCATGTTGGTCAGGCTAGTCTCAAACTCTTGGCCTGAAGTGAACCACCCGCCTCAGCCTCCCAAAGTACTGAGATTACAAACATGAGCAACTGTGCCCAGGCAAAATATACAAATCTTCAAGGCTGAACTGTCAATTGTTTCTCTGTTTTTTAAGCCAAGTGTGGCCTAAAGCATTTCTCAACATGCTAAAGAACAGTAAACTAAACTCCAACTTTTCCATTTACATGTTAGATCCTAATAGATATTGAAACCCTGCAAAACAGGGGATTTTTTTACTTTCATTCTGTTTACTTGCTTTTTTTAGTTTATAGAGTGGCAGAAAGCAAACAAGTAACAACAAAAAAATAATTAGGAGTTATACAAAAGTAAAAGAATGTATGAATAGAAATCTTCCAGTAATAATATTCCCCCACCTTTCATAGGGCAAAAGATCCACCACAAAAGAAGAAAAAGCCATTCTGAAACTTAATTACATTTCAAAGTACTACAGTAACATGAAAGGAACAAAACATTTTTGTTCAACAGTTTGCCTACCAGATGGCATCTCTAAATATAGTAATCTAAAACCTTTGCTTATCCTATAAACAAATAAATAGAGATAAAAGGAATAGCAACAACAGCTAAGAATTTAAATCACTGAAAATAAAATAGCACTTTGGTTAGGTTTGGAAGAATCTGGCTCATTCTAATAATGAATCTGGGAAGGCTGGAGTTGTCAGTGAAATTCAGAATACAGAAGGTTGCTTCTGGTGTCTACCACCTGCTTATCGACCTGTTTAAACTGGTAGAATAGTTGGAAGAACAAATCAGGAACTAATAGCAGGAAACTTGGGAAAAACTAAAGAAACACAGGAACACCTAATAAATATAGACTCTAAAAGGCCACAATACGAATTCCAGATTTTTGCTTTTGAAATAAGAGTTGGGACATGCCCTTGCTTTATTTCTGTGCACTCATCTGTAAATACAGTAATAGTTAAGGACCTGTGCTCTGGAGTTAGGCCTAGCATATGAATCCAGGTTCTACAACTGACTGGCACTATGACTTTGAGCTAGGTTCCTTACCTCTTTGAGCCTCATTGAAAAAAGCAGATAGTAGCAGTATTGAGTTTTATTGGAATTCATGTATGACAGTTTTTGGCACCTAGTGAATCCCATGAATATTAGTTGCTTATTATTAATAATCATGACTCTGAAATAATTATATTCTGATTTTTTCTGTCTCAAAAGCATGGGGTTGTGTACAGCAAGATTTTCTGGTAGTAAATGGAATTCTAAGAGTAGAACTCAAAGCCTTCCCTGGCATATCTCCAAGTGGTCTCTCCTAATAGCACTGCCCTCTTCTCACCTGGCTATGGAAGGTTATCTAGAACTTACACGGGGAAGGCAGGTCAAAAGACAGAGGCATTTTTTAAGAATTGGCTATCAGAGCTCAGCCTACCCTAGTCTATCCTCCTCAGGGACTTCACCTGTACTACTCTTAGCTACAGATCTATGGGCTTTGGAGAAATGACTTAGAATTTCTTTCTGATCTGGTTAATGGCATGTAGGACCATTCTGGCTGACGGTATTGGCATTAATACAACACCAAGATAGCTGCGAGTTGATTTTGGCAACTAACCTTTGATAGTAAATAATTTAGTTACCTGGAAGTAGGGTGATTATCTGGAACAAATAAAAGATAAGTTGTAATTGCTTAAACGTGATGCAGACTACAATGAATGGAAGACCAGCGTTTAATGGCACTTAAACTTCTACTGTGTTACTTTGTTAAATTTTACATGAGGAAAGAGCAACCTGCCGGTGCTATAGCCTTCAGTATTAAAAGATACCTATGTTTCAGCCTTTATAGAGGAAAAAATCCATTTTTTAGTATTTTTAAATTGTGGTAAAATACACATAAAATTTATTAAGTGTACAGTTCACTGGCATTTAGTAACAATGTTGTACAACCATCATCACTGCCCATTTCTAAAAATGTTTCACTATTCTAAGCAGAAACTCTGTACTCATTAAACAACAGCCTCCCAACCCCGGCTTCCCTTAGCCCTTGGTAACCTCTATTCTACTTTCTGTCTCTATGCATTTGCCAATTCTAGATATCTCATGTAAGTGGAATTATACAATTATTTGTCCTTTTGTGTCTGGCTTATTTCACTTGGCGTATTTCACAAGGTTCATCCAAGTTGTGGCATGTATCCAAATCTCATTCTTTTTAAAGGCTGAGTAATACTCTATTCCAACATGCACATAGCACGTTTTGTTTATCTCTCCAGCTGCAGATGAACATTTGTTTCCACCTTTTAGTACTTGTGAATAGTGCTGCTATAGAACACTGAAGTATGAGTATTTGCTTGAGTCCCTGCTTTCGTTTCTTTTGGGTGTATACGTATGAGTGGAACTGCTGGATCATACGCTAAGTCAATAACACTTTTCGAGGAACCACCAAATTATTTCTATTGCTGCGACATCATTTTACATTTCCATCAGCAATGCACAGGTTTCTAATTTCTACACATCTTCACAAATACTTATTTTCTGTTTTTTTAAATAAGAGCCATTCTAATGGGTATATAAAGTAGAATCTCAATAAATTAGACTTGCTTTGTAAACTATTAAAAATAAGAGACACGAAGAGAAGTTATTATTATATGTCTGACTTACCCTGTATATCAAAAGCTGCAAACATCCTGTGCGAGTCCCAAAGTGAAAAGTAAAATATGGTTCTATTAAATTTTAAACATAGTAATACTAATATTTCTACAGGTAATCTTGACTTTTGGGATTGTATTTAAAATTCCTACAGCAAATGCGCGGGATATAAACATATCCCTTAGTCATTACAGAAGTCCATACGAGGCTGACACACGTAGAATACCATTCTTGGCAAAACTAAATTCAGTAAGGTTACAACTGCCTCAAACTTGACTGCAAACTACTGAAATTTCCAGACACAGCGGGCGAGCGGCGCTGCGCATGCGCGCTCCCGGGCGGACTCCCTCGCGTGCGTGCGTGCGTGTTTGCGTGCGCGGCCCCGCTCGGCAACGCGGGGGCGGAGCCACATGACTGGCAGTGGCATCTGCGATGGCGGCTGCGTCGGGGTCAGTTCTGCAGCGCTGTATCGTGTCGCCGGCTGGGAGGCATAGCGCCTCTCTGATCTTCCTACATGGCTCAGGTGGATTTCAGTTTTACGTCCTGGTTTTCTAAAGCTCGGGAAACATCCTCCCCTCGATTACCCCAGTTTTGCCCAAGTGGAGGTGTCGCTGGGCCCACATAGGACCCGGTGGGTTGCTAACCCGCCTCCAGCCCCGGCTGTGGATTCACGGGGCAGCGCCACCTGCCCCCAGCCTCACCTCTTAGTCTTCCTCTTTCTATCGGGCGGTCACTGGCCCACCACCCTCGCTTAGGGGCATTGTGTCCGGCTGCTCAGCCAGCCCTCCATCCACACATTCTCTCCAGTGCAGCCTCTACCACATCCCCATTCCTCGCCCCAAGTTTAAACAGAGCAAGTTAGTAAGGTAAGTCTTAGAGGGAAATTATTTAGTTTTTGTCACGATCAGCTGCTAGTGATTTTTCGGTCCTAATTGCCCATTGCTTTCTCCAGGCTCCCCTACTAATGTAGACAATTGAGATTCACAGTTAACTTAGATACTGTTTACAGAGTATTTCCTTTCTGTGCGCCACTGTGCCATGGCTGGAATCCTTTCTCTCCCTTTCCTTTTTCCTGCTCCTCTTTCCTTTCTTCCTATTTATCGCCTGTGTCATTAAACTTCCAATATAGACTACAGGAGCAGGAGCCCCAGAGGTAGGTATATCTTCCACTGCCTGCCCTTAATAACGTGTACTTAATGCTGTATCTTTTCTTACACTCATCTGTAATCACTTTTATCTGTCTTCCCCACTGAATTGTGAGCTCCCCACTGGATTGTGAGAGTAAGGGTCCTTGTGTCAATCTTTGCACCCCCAGTGCTTGGCCCAGGGTAAGCTCTCAGGAATTTTTTTTTTTTTTTTTTTTTTTTTTTTTTTTAAAGAAATGCGATGCAGCCGGTGTCCTTAGGGGGCCTACCTAAAGTTAAAAACAAAAACAATTCAATTAGCTTGAGTCAGCAGTGCATGGAAGATCACAAGACGGTGCCTGGTTTCTTGCCAAGTGAATTGTAAGAGAAGAAAATGTGGTTAGGCATTATTAAGGCATTTGGAAGATGAAAAGCTTGTCAGACTTTTCGAAGAAAGTGGTCTTTGAGCCGAGACGGGTAGGCTAAAAGGAATGGTGATTGGAAGGGAATTGGAAAGGTACTGGGCAGAGACCTGGAAAAGGGCAGTTGTGGGAGGTGTTCTCTTTATTTTGAAAATGAGGCCAGACAAGTTCAGCAGCTTGGCCAAAGTCTCTTAGTTGTTACTGTGAGTGGTGGCGGATTTGGGATTAGAACCCAAAGCTCTCCGACCTCAAACTCAGGGCTCTGGTTGGGTAGGGTGAAAAAGCTTGAACTAGGATGTATCGTTTTGGAGATAGGGAAGAAGAGGACTGATGGTGTTTAAAGGGAGGGACTTGGCATATATTTAGAAAGTGAGGTGTGCAAGATGACAGCGGTACTTAACTAGGACGTTAGTACTGCTATTTAGGGCTCCAAGAGTGTTCATTTATAAGTACCCAGAAATCCCCCAACACTATATCCTCTCGCATAAATTATCAATTCTCATTATCTTTAGGAAAAACTCCTAGACTGTGTTCCTTTTTTCCTTCCCGGAGCACTTTGCTTAAAATAACTATCCTTACTCTTTTAAATTTCAGATTACATTTTTATAACCTGTAAGGGTATGTCTCTAAAATTCAGTCATGTATATGTGTGTGTGTGTGTGTGTGTGTGTGTATTTTTCTTTGTACTTTGAACAAAGAATTTATGCAAAGAATTCTGCAAAGTATGCAAGTATAATGTGATTCCTATATATTTAAATCTCTATTGAAGTAAATAAAACCCTTATTGGGAGTAATTTTTTATCATCTTTGTCTTTGGGAGTAGGTGTTTATCATCCAGTAGGTCCTCAGCAGCTAATGATTTTACATTAAACTTTAATATATGTGGTTATGTTATAGGAGATGTTTCATTTCTGCTTAATTAGAATATGGGCAAACCAATTCTAACAGTTTTATCACACTCAGTTTTACCAAACTGTTAACAGTTCTAACAGTTTTACTCTGGAATAAGGTACCAGCTTTTTTAAAAGTGGACATTGTGAATGGATAGATAGATGCTATTTTGCAGCTTCATTCTTTTTCTTCAAGGTCGAAAAAATGTTACTAACAACAGTTTGTTTGTTTGTTTTTAAACCTTAAAAGCTTGAGATTTTCTTCTAGGAGATAGCAGCCATAGAACTTATGAGAGAGTAAATTGTATATAGCCAACTTAATTTGAGCCTTTTCTATTAATAAAATACTGAAGACAGACCTTTTAAGATGATAAAAATAAATGATAGGTTAATTAGTGTTGTTCAGTCTCTCAGATCAGATTAATTCACTCTGTTTTTCTCCCATAGGACACTGGTTCTTCTTTCAGTGGTAGTCGTATCTGTAATTAAGTAATGTCTGTATTCCACATTAAGCTGTTAGGCTAACAAAGCCCAATCCATGTGTCTTGTTTATGGCTTTCTTCCTGTATAGTAAGGCTCAGCAAGTTGACTGAGTAGCCTCTTGATAAAGTCATCAGTAAGCTCAAGCTCTGTGTCACTCAATGTAATGGACATTTTTCAGTCTTCCTCTTACTTGAACTGTCATCCACATTGAACTTTCTTCTCAAAAAACTCTCCGGATTCGTTTTCTGTCTTGATTTTCTCCTTCTGCTTTCTTTTGCGGACTCATCCTCCTCTGCCTGGCCATTAATGATAGGGTTTCTCTAAATATGGTCCAAGGTCTTTTCACTCTGTGTTTTTCTCCCTGGGCTAATCACAGAAATCTAGAGATACCCATTTGTGTCACTGATACATAGGGAAAAATAGAATCTTTGAATTTCAGCTGCGTGATAGAGATTAATTAATGAATCCAGTCATTCAAGAAATATATCACAGCCTCTATGTGTATGGCACTGTTCTGTGCTCTGATCATAAAGCAGTGAACAATACAAATCCATGCTCTCATGGATCTTATGTTCTAATGAAAGAAATAAATACTGTAGTAAAAGGTAGTAAGTTTTATGGAGACAAAGAAAGCAGGATAAGGGAATGCTTCTATGGATGAGGAGTTGGAACAGTGTTACAATTTTAAATAGGATATGCCTCGCTGCAAAGATGACAGAAGATGACACTTTACAGCTAGACTTAGGTGAGAGAAAAATGTACATACTGGATTAGACTGTTTAAACAAAGGAAAAGTCAAGTCAGAGGCCCCAGGGTAGGTTCCTTGACATGTTCAAGGAACAGCAGTAAGGCTAGTGTGCCTGGAGTGAGAAGAGTAGAAGGGATATCCAAGAGGGTACTGGCATCAGGTAGTGTAGGGCAGGGGTTGGCAAACTTTCTGTAAAAAGTCAGGTAGTAAGGATTTTATGTTTTGTGGGCCATGTAAGGTCTCTTCCACATGTTTTTCCCTTCTCTCTCTTTTTAAGAAATGACACTTTAATAATATAAAACCAATTCTTAGCTTATCCTCCCTAAGGCCCCTAGGCTGAATTTTGTCCTCCCCTCTAGCTGGCCATAGCTGCTCCATCAACCCATGGTATAAGAACTTGTTGTATTCAGACTCAACCTGTGTATACCTGTTGCTTCTTGTGTTTCATGTCTAGGCAGGTGTCTAGTAGTATTGTTCACCCAGTTACTCCAGCCAAAAGCCTGTCAGTCATTCATGAAACCTTTCACTATTGACCCTTCATAACTAATCTGTCGTCAATCTCTATTAATTTTACCACTTAAATTTCTCTAGTATCTGTTTCTATCTACATCATCACCCTAGTCTAAGCATGAACAGTAGTTTCCTAACTATCTCTGTACATCTACTTTTGCTCTCTTTCAGTTCTGTCTTCACACGGCTTCCAGATTGATCCTTTAGAATCATGCCAACATTGCTGTCAGAAATATTCATGGCTTCTCCGCTTCTCCATGAACAGATTTGTCAGGTTCCTACAGTTCTCTGGTCTCATTTTATAGTCACTGCTCTTCCTTTCATTCTCTGCTTTTTAGTGTTTTTTTTGTTTTTGTTTTTGTTTTTTTTTGAGAAAGAGTCTCACTTTGTTGCCCAGGCTGGAGTGCAGTGGCACAATCTCGGTTCACTGCAACTTCTGCCTCCGGGTTGAAGCAATTCTCCTGCCTCAGCCTCCCGAGTAGCTGGGATTACAGGCAAGTGCCACCACGCCCAGCTAATTTTTGTATTTTTAGTAGAGACTGCTTTTCAGTTCTTACATGTCATACTGCTCCCTCTTGTCCAGACGTTTGGCACCTCCCCTTTCCTTGGCCTGAGATACTTTTTACTTCTGCATTGCACTTGTCACCGTCCTGCAGACTTTAGTTCAAACCATTCAGCAACTGTCTTTGAATACCGCTTTTTGTCAGTCCTGTTCTAGGCAGTAGGTGATCAAGTAATTCAGATAAAATACATAATAAACTTAATTTTGCAGAGTTTATAGGCCTAGTGCATTTATCTTTGAACTCCTTAACCCAGTCAGTTCTAAATCCTTGCGGCACCAAGTGTCTCATCTTTGCTGCAGTTACATTTCTCTTTCACATTTATTTGTGTGATATTTTGACTAATTTCTGTTTCTCACAATATGCTACATACTGAACGAGAGTGGGGACTCTATTCCTCCCTCATCCCGCCATCATTGCCTCTCTAGCAGTGAACACAGTGCGTGACACATTAACAGGGATTCAATAGACAAGTTTTGGAACTGACACCCTAATGAGTTAATTGATTAAAAAATTGAAGTCGTGACCTCTCAAATTCCTCCTCAGGACTACATAAAATGGATTTATATTTCCTTCCATTTTTTGTGTAAATACATATATATTAATTTTTGTAGGAGTTTTTATTTTCAGCTTTGGAGTAGATAATCATTTTTAGGTCATGTAAACATGTTTTCAAATTTAAATTGTAATTTCTTCAAGTTTAAAATTACACTGACTACATCTTTTGGGCTTTTTTTAACCAAGAAATTATATTAGATTGTTATAACTACAAAAGTTTAACAGTCACTTTGGGAATTTATTAGTATTAAGAATAAGATAAGAAATGACTTAAAAATCACATGTAAATACAGAAATAATATTTTTTTAGAAAAGTCAAGTTACTTATTTTTTCCTGTAATTCCCACTAAACAAATTAGGAAACTTAAAACTTAAGCTTAAACAAAATCTTCAAAGTAATCAATGGTAAATCCAGGAATAAAATAATCAAAATTATTGCTACATATTGAAGCTTGGTCAGTTGATTTATATTAATGAGTCAGTTTCTATGTGGTTATTACTACATATGGAGTTTTTAAAAAATCCCTTATTCCATCCTCTGTGTGGCATAAAAGTTTTAGATTGCTTTTAAGTGCATTGTATTACTGAAATAGTTATTTTAATCTAGATTTTGTGATTCATCAGGTGATTCTGGACGAGGTTTAAGAATGTGGATCAAGCAGGTTTTAAATCAAGATTTAACATTCCAACACATAAAAATTATTTATCCAACAGCTCCTCCCAGGTATGCAGTAATTTATCTCACTTCTCAATAAAACTCTGTGGCATAAAATGTATGTAAAGAGATGTGCCAACTAGGTGTTCTTTAAGCTTAATTTTGTATTTAAGATACTTTAAATTAGAGTACTTTTTCCTCAGAATGTATTCTTTATTGCAGTTACACTGTTGGGCCAAGTTTTGCCAGTTGAATAATTTATTCTCTCTCTGTAAAGCATTCCCTAAAGCTCTGAATTTAAACTGTGTCCCAAGCATGGCTTATGTAACTGCTTCCTCTTTTCCTGCAGATTGCTCAACTTTCATACTTTATTCTTCCCTACATTCACCCCAAAAGGAAACTTAATAACTCCAACAAGTATAATCTTTCTATTAATTTACTTAAGCCAGAGTTCATAATCTCTAGAAAAGGGTTTTATGACATTCTTTCCACATTTAAAAGGATTATTAAGAAATAATGTTATGCTTTTTGAATCAGTAAACCAGAATAGAAAGATGGAATTGACTGCTTAATAAATATTTAGGTTATGTAAGCTGTAGGTGTGTACAACAAAGTTCACAGTGATAAAAACTAGTATAGTTTTGAGATTAAACTGCTTTTTGTAAATATTAACATCTGCATAGTTTTTTATTCTGAACACATGCTGTAAATCAAGGATCGGCAATATTTTTTGTGTTAAGTGAAATGATGTGTGGAACTACGCCCCAATCTGATTTCTCATAATCTGTTCTTGTTTTTTCCTTTTCTTTTTTTTTTTTCCTTTTTGAGACAGAGTCTCACTCTGTTGCAACCTTTGCCTCCCGAGTTCCAACAATTCTCCTGCTTCAGCTTTCCAAGTAGCTGAGATTATAGGTGTATGATACCACACTCAGCCAATTTTTGTATTTTTAGTAAAGACAGGGTTTCACCACGTTGGCCAGGCTGGTCTGGAACTCTTGACCTCAGGTGATCTACCTACATTGGCCTCCCAAAAAGTGCTGGAATCACAGGCATTGAGCCACTGTGCCCAGCCTATTCTTGATTTTTTTTCTTATCAGGCATACTATGCAAATGCTTTGCTTTGTCTTTCCATTAACCTAGTATTAAGGAGAAATAGAGCCAGAACTTCAAGGACGTTTTTATATGTACTAATAAGGATTTACTTACTTTAATTGATAGAATTGAAAAAAGGAGAACGAAAGGATAATGTAAGAGTGAAGATTGAAAGAAGTTATTATTTAAATGTAATTTTAGTAGAGTTTAAAAGTTTCGTACTGTAGTTAAAAGACTCAGTCAGCAGTGGGGTTTTTGTGTGTGTGTGCTGTAAATTGCATGTCTCTGAAAATGTCAAAAGAGCTTGTTGTTACTGGTTTTTAGGATAGTTGAAGTTGGAAGGGAGAAACAGTGGTATTTCTGCGGGGATGAGAGATAAAAATTCATTTCTGCCTCAAATAAATACAATTGGATGATTAGTCATAAGACCATTGAAAAACTTATTCTAGGAATTAGTATTTTTTATCTTAAGACTTTCATGTCATGGCTGATTGTGATAGTAATTCTAGACAGTATTTTTCAAACTTTAGGCCAGATATATTTCAGAAAATTCAAAAAATCTCCATGTGCATTAAGCATTATTTTTGGGTACTGTTGTGATTTAGTAAAATATGAAATTATTAGACCAGCTTCATAATAACTTTTTGTTATACATTTTTATAATGAATAGCTATTTGGACAGATCATCAAACATTTTAGGCCATACTCACCAATAGAAACATAATATGCGCTACATATAAATTTAAATTTTCTTGGTACCACATTATAAGAAGGAAGAAATGGGTAAAATTAATTTTAATGTTATATTTTCTTTAACCCAGTATATTCAAAATATTCAGTAAGTAATAAGTATAAAATTATTACAGTGATAATTTATATTTTTAACATTAAAGCTTTGAAAATTGGCATGTGTTTTACATGTACATCTTATTTTGGATGTGAATTAGTTACATTTAAATTAAATAATAGTAAAAATTAAATTCCTCAAGTTGCACTGACTACATTTATGTGCTTCATAACCTTATGTGGTTAGGGGCTGCCATTTTGTACAGCTTAATTTTAGACCTTAAAGAAGAGTTACCATATACAGTATGTTGGGAGCCACAGTTATAGATCAAGTCATCATTTTTACTTATGCATACAATACTCATTGGTTTGCTCATTCACTTATTAGTAGCAAAACATAGATTTCCAATATTACTTTAAATATTAAATTATTTAATCGCAATAGAAAATGAAACTGGCATAAACAAATTTGAGAACATAGTTGACTCTTGGTAAGCATAAAAAGCCTAAGGCTCCATTTGTAGGAGCAAAAATGTGAGGTGGTGCAAGAATGAAACCTCTTGATCCGGACCATTTATTCTTCCATGAGTATTAGACATAGGAATACATGGCTTTGGTTAATAGTATGAGGCAGTTCAGTGGAGGTCAGTTAAGAGAGATAATATCATACTTAGTATTATTATAATTAGTTGATTTTTTTTCTACCTTGTGCTCTAGACTAATTTTCTAGAGCATTTTATATGATACTTGCTTCTGTATCTTTACAGACACTTAGGGATACAGCATCTCTAAGCACTTAGCATAGAACCTGACAAATAGAAGACTTTAGTGAATATCCAATAAATATCTTGCAGTATTTGTTTGTTGTTATAATTTAAAATAGTAGGAATGAGTAATTGTAGGTATTTATATATAATACTAATATTTTAATTGTATAGTAGTTTATGCCTATGTGAGGTTTTAAAAAGTGTATTTTGTTGTGGTAAGTAACTTAAAAATTGTTCATAAGGGCTTGCATTTACTTGTCCTAGGACTTGACCAGTAGTAGTTTGAGTGAGCACAAGATTATGGACCACTTTTAACTAATGAGTCTCAAATTCAGGAGAACTGCAGTATTATTAAGCCTACAGCTCTTAACTGGTTTCTAAATTTCAGAATACTGTTTGATAGTATTTTATTAGAATGCTCTGGTATTTATGGTGTACTTTGCTGTTGTAACACTGCTGACTGATGTTCCTAGCATGTTAACTCTGTTTAGGCAAGCGATTTGGGCATAGATATATTGTCCTTACTTTTGCAGCATAGTATGGCTTCATTTGGGCTTATAAGGATAGTTGCTGCCTTCCCTCTATTATGACAGTGTTTCTTGTGCTGCTGATAGAGAGACTGGTGTCATCTACCTTGCTAGCTACCTTTCCAGTGGTATCTAAAAGAGGCATATGGTAGATGCATGCCTTCCTTAACTCTCACTCTTTTTAATGTGATTGATACAGGATAAAAATGAATTTTAACAACCTTTTTAAAAGTTTATCAAGGTTTCATGCTTTAACATTTTCCTACATACTTTATGATATTGTCCACATTTCTGGTATTTATTATCTCTCCTGTTTTTTTCTTTTACCACCTGTAAACCTGTAAGTTTTTCTATATTACGGATATTTCATTGACTGTGTTACTCTATAGGGTATACTGAAGATATCACTTGGCTTTTAAAATCATTCCATTGATGACATCTAAATGATATTCAGGGTTTACCTGCCTATTAGTTGGCCAGTTTTGTCCTAGAATGTATCTAGTCTCCCATTACATTGATGCTTACTATTATGTGCCTTTACCCAAGCCAGTATTTATAGAAGTGGATGAAAATGAAATGTATAAAAGCAGGTTAAGGTTTATTAGCTTTGGTACACAATGCCAACATATTTCCAGAGAGGCTGTAACAATTGACAGCCTCACCAGCAGTATTTGAGAGTCCCATTTGTCTCATATCCTCCTGAACACTTTTCATTGTCAGTCTTTCTAATTTTAGCCAAACCAGTAGATATGTAGTAGTATCTTATTGTGCTTTTAATTCATATTTCTTTAATATTAATGATGTTGCACACTGTTTCATATGCTTATTGAGCATATAGATATCTTCAAAAGAAATACCCGCTCAGATCATTTGCCGATTCTTTTATTCAGTCATCTTTTTCTATTGATTTGTTGGAGCTTTGTAGTTTTTTGGATACAGTTTGTTATTGTTGAATACAATTGTTGAATATGAATACAAATACCTTCTCTTTGTGGTTTGCATTTTCACATTCTTAATGACATCTTGTAGACATAAGTTCTAATATGTTTTTTAAAATTTACAGTGAAATACAAAAATTGTATGTGCATAGTTAATTTTAATAAATTATTATACACAGAATTTTGATAAAACTATTTACATATTATCTCAATTAAGTTGGAGAATATTCTCATCACCCCAGAAAGTGTCCTCCTGCTTCTTTCAAGTTAGCGCCCATCTCACATAGGCTATTATTGTTTGGATATCTATTACTGTGACATAGTTTGGCTTGTTCTTGAATTTCAGTTAAATGGAATCATTTAAGGAAATACTCTAATGGAATCTTTTGTCTGGCTTCTTTTATTCAACTTGGTATTTTTGGGATTCATCTATATGTGTATATCAATAGTTCAATTTTTAAAATTTAAAGTAGGTATTATATAAATACCACAATTTGTTTATCTGTCTACTTTTGTTGGACATTTGGATTATTTCCAGTTTTGAGATCTAGTGTATAATGCTGCTATAAATATTCTTGTTACAAGTCTTTTTGTGAACACAATTTGAATTAATTCTTACCTAGACTCTATTCCATTGATCTGCTTATCTAATCTTCTAGTAGTATAAAATTATTTTAATTAACACAGTTTTTAGAAAATTTTGAAATCCAGTGGTGTAAGTTTGCTCATTCTATGTTACTTGCATTTACATGTAAATTTTAGAACCTACTCTTCAATTTAATAAATAACTGTTTGGATTTTGATTAAAATTGCCGGGAATCTACAGTTTGATTTAGAGGAAATAGATGCCTTCTAATACATACAAATGGTATGTCTCACCATTTATTGAGGTCTTCATTAATTTCTCTCAGTAGTGATTCAGAGTTTTTAGTGTAGAATTCTTTTGCTAAATTTATTTA